ACTGTGGGCCAAAGCAGTCAATGGAAACACAACCTGCATTTGCTTTAAAAATGAAATATAACACCAACAACAAATAATGATCAAAGTTAGCTAAGGTCAGCTATCCTTAAACGCCCTGTAAATGACGTTTTTAAAGTTCAGTTTAGTTCAGGGAAATGTCTTACAAGCCACCTTCAAAATGTAACTAGTAAAAAGTTACACTTGGGCCTCCTTGTGGTTTCATAAAAGGCATTTAATTGGTTGAGGACCATGTGAAAGCAACTGCCTGGCACTATCCCAAAAGACCAGCGGAGTAAGAGGAAAATAAGTAGACAGGGTTAGAAGTCCAAACAGAGCCAAGTTTCTCTACCATCTTTCAACTTCAAGTACACCGAAGTCAATATGATATCCGATACTTATGCTGCTGTGGCCAATAACTGATATTTTCTGATATATTGATAACAAATATATAATAAATAATAAATAATAGAATAAAGTTTCAGTACCAATATTTGAAAACCCTCAGATGTCGCCAATACCAATATCAGAACCAGTATAGATGGATAGGTAGATAAATACTTTATTGATCCCATAGGAAATTTAATTTTCGACAGTAGCAATGAAGCAAACATAATAATATAGCAGTCCTTCCTCTTGCATTCACCATATATCGTCCATCCATAAAAATATTGTAAGTAGCTGATATATTTTCTATCATGTTTTTCTACGTCCAGAAAGCGTCTCTGGAGGGCACACTGCGGGACACAGAGATGCGCTACAACATGGAGATCGAGGCTCTGAACAACGTGATCTTGGGGCTTGAGGCGGAGCTCACACAGCTGAGGAGCAGCATCCAGTTGCAGACACAGGATTACGAAGCTCTGCTTAACACCAAGATGAAGCTCGAGGCCGAGATCGCCACCTACAGGAGACTGCTGGATGGGGAGGACTTCAGGTGAGGAGACGTTGTTATTGTTACGATATACTGTGTCTCTTCTTTCACCATCTCCTGTACTTGTCCAACCTGTCACAATCTTTCACTATCCAAAACATCTCCTTAATTACTGTTCTAGTCTTAAAGGTCCTATATTATGCTTTTTCAGGCTTTTTTTTGTTCAGAGTTTGTTAGGACAGCTTATCATTGGTATTTAATTTTGGATTGCTGGCTGAGTGTTCACAGGTTGTACTGAAGCTGTGTAAATAAGGCTAAAACAACGTTTGTAAGATATTAGAGCAACATGCTTTGTAGTGAAGGCCATGTGAGTGTGCAAATTAAGTGTAGCTGTGTAAACTTTGAAGCTCCCGGGAGAAGGGTGGGGCCATCTTATCACATAACCTGGTGGGATTTAACTTTTTGAGCTTCTCAGAAGACAGGCTAAAGATGCAGGGTTAGTCAACTGTATATTTGTAGTGAGAGAAATCAGTAGGTGACAGGTCAGAGCAAAGAGAGAAAAGGTAATTTTACATAATATGGACCTTTAAGGAAAAGCTCATTTTCTGCCTCCTATCTTTTCCCAGTTCAATGGAACAAAAAGTACAGTGAATCTAAATAGTAAGTAAAAAGACTATTACTTATTTTCAATTAAATGTACCAAGCTTATAATTACTACTTTACTTCTTTCTTATAAAAACATGAGAAGAGTCCCTGTTGCGTAAATGATGAAGGCTTGTGCTTGAATGTTGGACAAACTTCGACTACAAAGTTTCTCACTGAATGCTTTGTTAAAATCAGCCATTAATCAAATACCATGTCCATTTGCATGCTATTACTTCAATTGTTTTAATCTCCATTCCTGTAGTAAAAAAAACAAAAAACAAAGCCCCATGTTCGGTTAGAAACTTTTGATTTGGTCTTGGATACAGAAATATGCATACGTTAAAGGTCCTATATTACACAAAATTGACTCTTGTGAGCTTTAAGCCAAATTAGAATGTTGTTACCTCCTCAAAAACATACCCAGAGTTGTGTTTTGTTTCATTCACACATTCACACATATTAGTCTGTCTATTACATCTCTTAATTTCTAAAGCTCAGAATGCTCTGTTCCACCTTGTGCTGTCACGAAGCAGTAGTTTTCAAATCAAATTATTCTAGTGGAGGTTCAAGTAGTTCGGGGTCTTGTTCATGAGCTCTCGATTTACCGGTCAATCTACGTTCCTCCCCTCACCTATGGTCATGAGCTCTGAGTAATGACTGAAAGGACGAGATCGCTGACACAAGCAGTCGAAATGAGTTTCGTCCGCAGGGTGGCTGAGTGCTCCATTAGAGATAGGATGAGGAGCTCAGCCATACGGGAGGAGCTCGGAGTAGAGCCGCTGCTCCTCTGCATCAAGAGAAGCCAGCTGAGGAGTCTCGGGCATCTGTTCTGGATGCCTGGTGGGACTATGTCTCTCGGCTGGCCTGGCAACGCCTCGGAGTACCCTCTGGAGGAGCTGGAGGAAGTGTCCACGGTGAAGGAAGTTTGGGAGTCCCTGCTTAGATTGTTGCCCCCGCGACCTCGGCCCAGATAAGCAGAAGAAAATGGATGGATGATTCTAATGAAGGTGTATGGAGACATGTCTTACCACATGACATCACAAGGTGGAACAGGGTTTTCTGAGAAGAACTCAGCCTAAATGTGTAGGATCTGTGTGTTGAACATATGCGAATGAAACCTGCAAAACAAAACTCCAGGTATGTTTGTGATGAGGAAAAAACATTATAACAGATCAGAAAATAGCGTAATATGGGCCTTTTAACAACTAAGGGGCCTAACACTTAAGTTACATATTTCCTCTTTCCAACAATAACAGAGCAACTAGTTTAGTGAATGTTTTACTAATATCACTGTATGATTTTTTCTCTTTAGCCTTCAAGACGCCCTGCAGGAGAAGACAGTGAAAACCCAAGTGATGACAGTCACAGACCCTGGTGGACGGAAAAGTGGTCGCCACCAACACAGAGACCAAGCAACTGTAAACGTCCCACAGTACCTGAACGCAACACTAATTAATCACAATTGGCCATTTTTAGTCATGCAAAACTAATTATCTACAAGTCTGTAAAACAACTGGAGCAGAAAACCTAGTCATCTTTTATTTATTCCATTACCATCATGTCTGTTCATGTATTTATGTGTTGACGAAATGTTTACAAAATTTGGTTCACTTGTGTGGAAAGTTGTCCGAAATTTTGAAGAAATCGTAAACAAAACTATTTTTCATGTTTTTGGTTTTCTGTCCATTCAGTTCCGTCTACATGTTTCATATCATTAAAGTCAACTGTCTTTACTATATCGTCTTCCTTTTTTTTCTTTTAATTACTCATTCTTATGCCATTTGCTTTCCAGCTCAGTTTTAAAACCCACAATCTTCTGGTTATAGGGCATGAACGCTAACTTAGCTCTCACAGTCTGTAATTACAACTATTCCAGCCAATATAAAGCAATATGACAAGAAACCTCGTTATTTTGTTGAGGTTCACCAGCCAATTTCTGATGAAACATATCCAGTATAGTCAAGCTGAGTAATAAAAGGAGACACTTCAGACAGGCACTAACCACAGAGTTCCTGTTTTGAATACTCATTAAACATGAAAAGGAATGCATCGATCTGATACTGGAAAATTTGACTGATCTTTCAGATATTCATTCAGCAGATATGCAATAGGACTATTTCTTGGTTGTAGCTGGTCCATAAAGTCTCATAATGTTTTTCCCCATTGTTCTTGAGATATGCACATCTCTATTTATTTGAATTACGATGGACTGGAAACTTATTAGTTAGGTCTCCTACTAGATAACCAGAACTGAAGGTAGTTTTATTTTTTTGCTAGTACAATTACATTTTTGTTTACATCCATCCATTTTTGTTTACATATGATTATAATTTTTCTTATGATTATTACTTAAAGGTAAACAACTCTCATTTATTGTCATACTGAGAGAAAATCTAATTGCTCTGATGCCTCGGCCATTTGTGTCACTGGCAGCAACTGGTTGAGGGCCCCTCCAGGTTTGGGGGCCCTAAGCAGCCGCCTACTTTTGCCTAATGGTAGCACCGCCTCTGTCTGTACTAGGTAAATAACAGCTACACAACTCATTTGGATTAGTTTTGTCTTATGTAATTTTTGTTTAAAGGAAAAAAATGCTGTTTTCGGTCTCTACACTGGTATTTGTTTATGTCAAAGGTGGAGATGGATCAAGGAGATGTTATTGCTTTGTCTGGAATGTTTCACAGTATAGCATTAAACCTTAAATCTTCATGGAGAACAAACCAAAAACGTTGCAGGTCAGGTCTGCGGAGAGGCAACCCCGCTCACAGTCATAATGTCTGTTTTTCAAGGTATTTTTGAGCTATAAAACCACACGGGATGTTTAATGTCATACTGTGGAACATTCCAGACAGACTAAAGCCATATCTATAGAAACAAAAAGGTAACAGACCCCTAACAAAAAAGTTACATCGTGCACCTTAAAAGCTAAAGAATCGAAATCAGTATTGGAACTGAAAAAGCTGAATCATTGCATCCCTACTCATGAATATACTTTTCATATTGCAATTAATCATAAACAATATGACAAAATATTTTATCAAAACCTTATCAGTCACCAAGAATGATGGATAAACAATACAACATCCTTGACGTAGCCTAAGTCTACAGTCTGCGAATTCCCATGCACACAAAGATATCATATCAGCGTAAAAATACTTAAGGGCTCCACTCCCTCCCACCTACACATTCAGGTCCCATTTTACTGCACGCCATTGACTTCTTTTGAAAATACACACTCATTAACCCGTTTTATCACTATACAATACAACGAACATACGGCATCACACCCCTCCTCTGTTCCAGGAGCAAAGTCGAGGTTACCAGTGCCAAAGGTAGATTTCTATTGAGGGTATGTAAGGTGCGGCCACTAGTATATAAACAGCCGTTTCTCTGCTTGGTCCTTCACTGTCTAGCTTCAGCTCCACGAAAGTGCTCCACCATGGAATCTTTCTCCAGACGCTCCTTGTCCTATTCCAGCGGTCCATCTATGAACTACGCCCATAGTGTGAGTGGAGGTGCTGGAGGCCATGGCACCAGGATCTCCACGGTCACCTACGGGAGCCGCTTCGGTAGTGGTATGGGCAGCAGCTTCGACTACCAAGCGTCTGGGTCTGGTTCCACGAAGCTCGCCATTGGTAACGAGAAGATCGCCATGCAGCATCTGAATGACCGCCTGGCGAGCTACCTGGAGCAAGTGAAGAACCTGGAGAAAGCCAACACCAAGCTGGAGATCAAGATCAGGGAGGTGCTGGAGAAGAGGGGCCCAATGGAGGGGAGAGACTACGCCAAATACTACGCCGTCATCGCAGACCTCAGGGCCAAGGTCAGTCCCATGTAAATACAATCACTTGTTTTGTGTGTAGGAATTTATCAGTGCTACTTTAAAGGTGCATTGCGCAACTTTTCTGATGGAGGCTTGTTTCCATGGAGATGTTATTGCTTTGTCTGGAATGCTTTCAAATAAACACATCTATCTTGCATTTATTCATTATAGGTGTTTCTATTGCTCAAAAATACAATAATTCTCTCTAAGAATAGGGTTGCCTCTCCACAGATCTGACCTGTGATGTAGTCTATAGTTGTCTCCCGTGTGACTGATTAATTGGTTAATCTCTACTGTGGAACATTCTAGACAAATAAACAGCATCTCCATGAAGACAAGCAGGTGCACCTTTAACCAGAGCAGAAAATCTGTGCTTACAATGGTTGAATTTGCAGAGGTATAAGCATCAAAGGTCAAATTTTAGATCCATCACTTCCACAATAGAAATAACCTAAAGTTGTATTAAAGATGCACTATGCAACTTTTTGTAGGGGGTCTGTAACCTGCTTTTTTCTGTGGAGATGTCATTGCTTTGACAGTATGACATTAAACAGCCCTACCTTACATTTTTTCAATTACCGGTGGTTATATAGCTCAAAAATACCTAGAAAAACAGCCATTCTCCTCTCCACAGATCTGACTGGTAACTTGGTCTGGTTTGGTCTCCATGAAGATAGGAAGGTTCTGTGAAACATCTCTATGAAGAAAAGCATTTGACCTTCAAACAGAAAAGAGACACAATGCATCTTTATGAAATCAGGGTTATCAAACTTCTCTTGGCTCATTTGAAAGACATAAAGTATCATCAAAGTCTGGGTTTTATTTTTTATGAATCCATTATTCAGGACAATCTTATCTGACTCCAAAGTGTCAGCTCAGAGTGGTTTTGAAACTTTTACTGCTTGCGTTATCTGTGAAAAGATAAAGTAGAACCAGATAGCTGCCTTGTGTTTTACGATGGAAGGAATTTTGTAACTAATTCATCATGAGGTTAATTAGATGTCGAATAAGCAGAAGTAAGTGATTTATCTTTCTTTGCTTTTGAACTTTTTTATTGTCACAAAAGGGTGGGGTGCACAAAGCTGGCACCATTAGCATCACTACTTAAAGGTGCACTGCGCAACTTTTCTAGTGAAGGGTCCGTCACCTGCTTGTCTCCATGGACATGGACATGTTATTGCTTTGCCTGGAATGATACATGGTATGGCATTGAACACATCTCTTTAGGCTTTTGTTTCATTACAGGTGTTTCTATTGCTCAAAAATACAATAATTCAGTCTGTGAATAGGGTTGCCTCTCCATAGATCTGACCTGTAATGTAGCCATTTGACAGAAGGGCTGGACCAAGAGCAGATGGTTGGAGTTTTTTGGTAATCCCCCTCATAAGTGAAAAAAATAACATGGGATATGTAGAAAACATATCCCACAAAAAATATAAAATATATTATATCCCATAAAAAGATTAAAGGGCTGTAGTTTGCCCACCACTGGTTTAATCTCTACCATAGAACATTCTGGACAGAGTGATAACATCTCTATGAAAACAAGCAGATGACAGACCGTCTACCAGAAAAGTTGCACAATGCACCTTTAAATATACAGTTGCAAGAAACAAAAGTACTAATCTCAGTTTAATATGAAACCTTCTCTGCAGATCATGGACATGATCAAGGGCAACGCTCACCTGGCCATCTCCCTGGACAACGCTCGCCTGGCCTCAGACGACTTCAGAGTCAAGTGAGTCTGACTCTCTGATACCACTGTAATGCTTATGGGCGTCAGACACCCCTGATGCTTATATTTGTAGTTGAGATCAAATGAGCCTAAACTCTGTGTGCTGTAAACAGGATGGAGTACGAGCTGTCCATGAGGCAGACAGTCGAGGCAGATGTGGCTCGCCTCAGGAAACTTCTGGATGACACCAACGTGATCCGCCTTCACCTGGAGAGTGACATTGAGTCTCTGAAGGAGGAGCTCATCTCCCTCAAGAAGAACCACGAGGCCGTAAGACAAGACTTATAACACTCAAATCACGCTTTGGGACTGTGCATTATTGTGGATTGTGCTGTTAGTACTGGTGTAGATTAGAATTCACTGGACATTGGTGAAAAGTTACATTTTTGTACACTGTTTCTGCACTGTTTGAATTCTTTCACCTACTGTAAAGCAGCCATTACTAACTAAAGCCTCTCAGGAAAAGCCTCAGTCAGAACCAGAATCAGAATTTATTTGTCATTTCAGTATAAAAAAATACACAGAAACAAAACACTGTACTCAGATCCAGCATCATATAAAACAACAATAAATAGTAATGGTAAAATAGTAAAATATTGTATGTCAAATGCAGTCTTTAAAAACAACCCCCACCCGCCCCCTTTTTTCTAAAGTGCATTCCAAGTCTGAGTTATTTTGTACAGTGCTTTAGTGTCAGGGCTTCATGACAGAGCTGATCTGCCTAATGTATTAAATATTCAATGTATTAAATATACATAAATTCTATTAATTTATTAATGAATATTGGATTAGTTTGTCTACAATGCAGTTTTATATTGTATTTATTTAGCTGCAGGGAGGAACTGGATTATCTTGAAATGAAATCACTATTTGTTTGTTCTTTAAGCATAAAACAGGATACCCTGAATGGCTGTCTCAGGAAATCCCTCCCTAACTATTTCCTGTGTGCACAGGATGTAACAGAGCTGAGGGCACAGATCCTGCAGGGGAGCGTGCACGTGGATGTGGACGCGCCTAAAGGACAGGACCTGGCTCGCGTCATGGAGGAAATGAGGGCCAAGTATGAGAAGATAACCCTGAAGAACCAGGAGGAGCTCAAGGCATGGCACGAATCACAGGTATGTCATAAATTAAAGCTGCACTGTGTACCTTTTCAGTTGGGGGACAGACATCATCTTGTTTCTGTGGAAATGTCAGCGCTCTGCTTCAGATGTTCCACCGTATGACATTAAACAGATCTAGCATACATAGCTTCTGTATTCAATTACAGGTGCTTTTAGAGCTCAAAAATACCTGAAAAAAAAACTGGCATTCTGACTGTGAGTGGGGTTGCCTCTCCACAGATCTGACCTGTAACATGGTCTGGTCATATAAAGCAAAAACATCTCCACAGAAAAACAAGTGGCAAACGCTCCACCAGAAAAGTTCAAGGGCATAGGTGTGGTCTCAACTTTGGTGGGACATTATCAGCTCAAAGCTGTTCTTTTTCCACATTATAAGGCAAGTTTAATTGAAGATGAAGCCAAGTAAGTTCATTTTGAAAAGTTTTTCAAAGCTTGGTGCGCAGCATCTTCACTCATGCCTGCTCAAGCTGCCACTTTCAGGTGTTTAGGCTCTTGGCACCACTAATGTCATCACTCTGTTTCAGCTAATGAAATAGCGGCGGGGTAACCCTGTCATCATATCACTGAATATATCTCAGAACATCTAATAAACAAAATGTGAACAAAAACGTGTTAAATTAATACTATTGAGTTTGGAAAAATATGGGAATAAAATGTATATTTTTGTTTATTAAAATAAGATGGCAAATATTGGTAGGGACTATTTTGTCTTCCACAAATATTGGTTGTGACATGTCCCCACCCTCCCTATGCAAACCTACGCCCTTGGAAAAGTTACATAATTCATCTTAAACATATTCAAAAGTAATAAAAGATGAACCCTTCACTTCATGAACCTAACGTGGAATATATGTGCATTGTAGATCACAGAGGTCCAGGTGCAGGTGACAGAGAGCACCACAGCCCTGAAAGAAGCCACCACAGTGATAAGTGAAACCAGGAGGAGATACCAGGCCCTGGACATTGAACTGCAGTCTGCTCTCAGCCTGGTACGAAAGCAAAGTTACTTATTGATCAACTGTTCCCTTTTCTACTTAAGAATGCTTGTGAATTCCATGCTTCCTTTGTCATAGTTGTTTGCTGTCATGGCATATTTTAACTATTATTTGAAATGAAAGTAACCTGTGCTATTTACTAACAGTTCAACAACAGGGCAAGTCAGAGATTGCAAGTTTCTATTGGTATCTGCAAAATAGGGGCTATTTGTAATATAATCCAATATGCAGGAGGACCCATATTACGCTATTTTCTGATCCATATCCTGATCAAAAACATTCCTGGAGTTGTGTTTTGTTTCATTCACATATATTTAACACACAAACCCTGCATATTTACGTTCTTCTCTCAAATAGAAAGTGCTTTTAATCACAAGGTGAAACAGAGCATTTTGAGCTTTAGAGATTTAGAAGCTTACTTAATCGTGTGTAATTGAAACTAAACACATCACAAAGTATGTTTTTGATGAGGAAACAACATTATAGCAGGGCTTAAGCCTCACAAGAGTCAATTTTGTGTAATATAAGACTTTTAACCTTTAACCGCCCATAGGAAAAATGTGTTGCTCATCTGCTGTTCAATCTCTTCTCATATTCGTATCATTTTTGTGATCATTTTTGTCTGGGTTACTTCTCCCAAGGGTCCAAAAAAGTTAAAAAGAGACGGGACATCACTAAAACAAAGGAGGTTGAGTTGAGATAATTAGTCGAGCAATACTTGAGAAGTGGGATAAACAGAGGAGATCTCATAAGTGTATCTCAATTATGTCTTGGTTATTTTCAAGGAGAATTAAAGAGAATAACATTAGATGAATCTGAGACTTTTATTATTATATGTTTATTTATTTAATGAGACAGGGACAGTGCACAATCTACATTAAGTTTAACAGGAGAGATGCATTTTACCAGGTTGTAACACCAGTGCTAATTCTCACCTGTAGTCCCAAACTCCACACAGAAAAGCCGAACCCAGAACCTTCTTGCTGTGAGGCATGAGTGCTAGCTACTCAGCCACCATGCCGTTATGGGACAAATCTGAGAACTCAAATAGTGAGCTGTGAGAGGCATAGCTGAGATAGTGCTTAGAAGTTAGGATATCAAATTGAGACACACTATATCTAATTTTTCTCTTAGTTGAGATCAAGAACAGAGGCAGCTGTCAGAGAATTTAGAGAACTCATACAATGCTGTGAGACTTATTTCTCAGGAGAGACATTTGAAAAGAATGAGAAAATCACTTTGGTCTTGATTAGTGCTCGTTTATATCTAGGAGATGTAAATGTGGCATAAATGAGACCTCATCTTCAGTTTTGCTTTGCTATGGGCATTGACCTCTGTCCTGTTGCAGAAAGCGTCCCTGGAGGCCACCTTGAGGGACATCGAGGCACGTTACAACATGGAGGTGGAGAAGTACAATGTCATCATTCTCAGACTGCAGGAGGAGCTGACTCAGATCCGCAATGAGATCCAGAACAATGGTAGAGAATACGAAAACCTCCTCAACATCAAGATCAAACTGGAGACTGAGATCGCGGAGTACAGACGCCTGCTGGACGGAGGAGATCTCAAGTGAGTACCACAAACATCACAATATACCAGAATTAACCACCAAAATTAGAGTGACAAACTGTCCTTCTTTTGGTAGTACATTTAGATTTCTGCCCCCATCCCACTTATTCAGATAAACAGATAGACAGATAGATGATTGGATAGATGGATAGATACGTTATTGAGCCATTGATCCAGAAGGAAATTCACGGTTCGGCAACAGCACCACAGAAACAAACATAGCAACATACACAAGATACTTAGAGCAGTGGTTCTTAAACTTTTCCAGTCAAGCACCACTTTCTGAATACATCCAGATTTAAACTATGTGTAAAAAAAGACTGTTCTAGGTGTTTTTATCTACATGATAATTTGGTTTTCACAAACAGACCTGGAGTTTTGTTTCATTCACATGTTTAACGCACAAACTCATGTGTTTAGGCTGACTTCTATGCTCTATTCTACATTGTGATGTCATGTGGTAATACAGGAAGTGCTCCATCTCGTTTTTAAACTCTGTACACCTTCACTAGAATCACTTTTGATAATTTAGCCCCAGAAATTGTCTCTTATGAACTATAATGTAAAAGGTAGCTATTGAAAACAACCTCTTCATGACATCACAAAATGGAACAGAGCATTTTGAGTTATGGAGATGTAGGCAGACTAATAATAATAAAGAATTACTCAAACGTGTGAATGAAACAAAACACAACTCCAGGTATGCATTATAACATTATTTAAAGCAGTGAATTTTATGTAAATTTTGCATAAACCTTTAACATTGTGTGCCCCTTTTTCTACAATCTTAAGAGGTCACCCTTGCCACAACACACTCACCGCATTTGGATTGGGTCAGCAGACGTTGGCCCCTATCTGCATATTGTGCAAATTGTCCACATTCAAATGGGTTTATGCAAATGAGATATGGAAAACAAGAGCTTTGAAGTTCAGAAAGGCCGACTTCTCATTCACGGCGACGCTGTGTGGCCTTGGGCTGAGCGTGCAACAAAAAAAAGCCCTCTTAATCCTTTGAGATGAGGGTGCAAGGAAATAAGTCAGTCAAGCTTTAAATTCCAGCCAAGTATTTGCAGTAGTCTGATTAGCACAAGAGTCCAGCTATTGGCCCAAAGTAGCATGACAAATTTTCTAGGACAGTCTGTTCAAACTGACCTAATACTTCTGTTTTTATAGATACAAATAATGTCAGAAAATAATTATCTTTGTGCAGGTTTAGTAACAACAAATGAAGTAATAACAAATGACGAGTTCAATAGCAAAAGCAGATCTCTCAGTTTTGAAAAATTGCCCAAAAGTGTTTTTCTTTTTTGCACTATGTAACGTCTAAGGAGGTTCACTTCTTGCTTGTCTCCATGGAGATCTTATTTCTTTGCCCGGAATGTTCCATAGTAGGGCATTAAACATACAGTATCTCCCTTGTTTTCGTTCAATTATGGGTGTTTTGTAGCTCAAAAATATCAAAACAAATATGAATTTTTAACATCTGCAGGCTTGTATCTCCATAGATCAAACCATGAACCTGTCTCCAAACTGATTACCAAGTTTATTTCCATACTGTCCACCAGAAAAGTTACTCAGTGCACCTTTTAGTAATTCTACCTCTATAACCTCAATAATATCACGTGCATTTTGATATTTTTCAAGATGTGGCCCTTGTTGAAAATAGTTTGGAACCCCTGTTCTAGAGATATTAGCAATGACAATAATGTACAATGGACTTTATCAAGGGGAGACAGAATTATATTTTATAGCAATAAATATAATACAAATATCAATCAAATCAAGCAAGCTTTATTTATAGAGGTTGTTACAACATTCAAGGTGAACAAAATGCTTCCCATTAAATCAACACAATATAAAAACATGCAAAAACAATGAACACTGAAATAAAACAAATGGTGCAAAGTGTCACTGCATTACTGAGTGGCTTTGGAGCTTGGATTTAAACAGGTCAGTGTCTGTGATGGTGCACAAATATAAATATGACTATATTAAGAGTAAACAGCAAGCCTCTGAGGATTTTTTTCAAGCAGCACTTATCTGTTTTTGCAAATGAACTTTTCAAATGTGCACAAACCAGACTGTAAATAAGACCAGTAACTTTAAATTGCAACTGTCTGCTATGATGAGTGTTCAAGGCTGCCTCTCCACATTCACTCTTACCAGTCAGGAAATAAGACTTTTATTTTTATTTTTTTTATTTAATAGGTACAGTGTAAATTATCTATAAGTGTAAATATGACAGATTATAGCAAAAATTCTCATTTCCATCTGTTGTCCCTCAGCAGGTGACACAGAAAACTATACAAAATACAAAACAGAACAGTAAAAGGCCAGACCAAAAGTGTTCACAGACTTTTTTTTCAGTTAAAGGTGCAGTTTGTATGTAGACAGAGATGGACTTTTTGTTATAGTCAATGGGAGACTTTTCCAACAATTAGTCCTTTTGAGAGACAGCACAGACACACCCTGGTGCCATCCCACTCAGTCTTTAGTTTTATAACGTCCTTCCATAGAGGAGGAGCGACTCTGTGTAAAGCTTTGAAAATGAGAGTTTTTAAAATGAACAAAATGATCAAACCTGAGTAAACTATACTATACTAAAATAATGCTGTGGTGAAATGAGTCAAAAAGTCAAAATATTGAACTTTTCTCTCTTGTTGTTGCAGGCTTGAGGATGCCATAGACCCAAAAACGGTGCAAACTAAAGTGGTGACAGTCACTCAGACCCTGGTGGACGGTAAAGTGGTGTCCGAAAGCAAAGACGTCAAATCCAGCGAAAAAGCGGTCAACTAAACCTGCTTTTTTGTATGAAATAAAATGTGAAACAGACTTGTACTTTGTGGTTGTATTCTTCAGTGTAGTACTCTGTTTTTTTACTTAAAGGTGAATTGTGAAACTTTTCTGGTGAAGGTCCGTCAAATGCTTTTCTTCATAGAGATGTTATTACTTTGTCTGAAATGTTTGACAGTATGATAATAAACTGTTCTATCCCCATGAAGACCAAGCCAGACCAAGTTATAGGTCAGATCTATGGAGAGGCAACCCTGCTCACAGTTAAAATGCTTGTTTTTCAAGGTATTTTGAGCTACAAAACCACATGTAAGTGAATAAATGTAAGGCAGAGCTGTTTAATGTCATACTGTGCAACATTCCAGGCAGAGAAATGACATCTCCATGGAAACAAGCAGGTGATGGACCCACATCCTAAAAGTTACATAGTGCATAAATACAAAAAGTACATGTACAGAGCAATTAAATACTCAAGTAAAGTAAAAGTATTATGAAAAAATCTACTTAAGTTTTTACTTAAGTAGATTTTTATAAGTGCATGTTTAAAAACTTACTTAAAGTAAAAAGTAAAAGTATTTCATGCATATTTGAAGGTCTTATAAAGCTTTAAATGTAGTGATTTTGATAAAGAATTGTACAGAATTTTGTTCAACAGAAACAACTGTAGTAGAATAGAAAGTACAGATACCTGCTCTCAAGTCTAGTAAAGTAAAAGTTAAAAGTACAGATACCTAAAATGTATTTTTAAGCACAGTACTTTTACTTTGTTACGTTCCAACACTGATTCTTACCCCATCATGGCCCTTTAGCTGCTTGGCACAGCTCCATGGTGCTCTCTTTTACACCCACACACTTCAGCCAGGCCAGGAAATTCCTTTGGCTTCTGAGAAATTAACAATCTGGCCCTGGGTTCGTTAGCCTTTTCAGTAAGAGCTTTAGATCCAGTTACCAAGGCAACGCTAAATGGACAGACAGTGTTGGGGAGTAACGGATTACATGTACCGCCGTTACGTAATCAGAGTACAAATTATGAGTAACTGTATTCCGTTACAGTTACTGTTTCAATGAGTGGTAATTGGATTACAGGTACTTTGCTGAAATAAGTGGATTACAAGGCGGTATTTTCCTGTTTTCACATTTTGTGCTACATCCCATTTATTTATTTTTTATTTCGGTAATTCCACTCATTGTTGGAAACCCAAACAGAACGCGGCAATAAGAGCGATGTAAACGTCATGTTAAAGTTGGCGGTGTCAGTCACACAGTGGAAGCAGCAGTGCATTGGTAAAAACGCATTTGTGTCTTGGAAATTCTTCTCCCGATGTGAGATATATATATAAAAAAAACAAATATAAAATGGCCTACAACTTAAATGTGAAACAGGAGCTACTGGCACTGGTGAAAACAACCTGCATAGACTCATGATATCTGCACTACTGTCCTATAATGACCTGCGACATGAGTGGACACACACACAAACACACACACACACACACACACAAACACACGCACACACAAACACACACAAACACACACACACACAAACACACACAAACACACACACAAACACACACACACACACAAACACACACAAACACAAACACACACCAACAAACACCTTCATCATCGTCATCAACCTGAGAACCCGCGGACCACTTCTCCTTCCGTAGTTACAGCGCGGACACCGTCGCCTTGTGCGCCTCGTGTGGACCGTGTTTTCTCGCGTAAACCGCGCTTCCTCCTGTGCGCCTCTAAACCAGAACTAACACCAGGACTAAACCAGAACTAACCCAGAACTAACACCAGGACTAAACCAGGACTAACCCAGAACTAACACCAGGACTAAACCAGGATTAACCCAGGACTAAACCAGGACTAAAGCAGGACTGAACCAGGTTTAAACTAGGACTAAACCACGACTAAACCAGAACTAAAGACCTGGTCTAGACCTGGTCTAAACCAGATCTAAAATCAGGAGTAAACCAGGTCTAAAAATCAGGACTAAACCAGGACTAAACCAGGTCTAAACAACATGACACCTAACAGTAGGTTGACATAATTTAAGGTGATGTCATATAAAAAATTATTTCTCTATCAATAATATTTTTTAATATGGTGAAGGAAAAGCTTATCTTGTTACTGTCTTTTAACAGACAAAACCTCTTATATTAAGATGTCGTGGTCTTTGTTTCTCTACAGCAAACAGTTGCT